CAGATAATGATGCTCCAAGTAGTTCCTAAGGAAAGTGTATCTATGTTTTTTATATATTTACAGTATGTTGTATTGTGCAATACCAATACATACAGATTAAAGGGAAAGGTTCCCCTTGCACATATGTGCTAGTTGTTCCCAACTCTAGGAGGCGGTGCTCATCTCCATTTCAAAGCCGAAGAGCCAGTGCTGTCTGAAGACGTTTCCGTGGTCATGTGGCTAGCATGACTAAATGCCGAAAGCACATGGAACGCTGTTACCTTCCCACCAAAGGTGGTCCCTATTTTTCTACATGCATTTTTACATACTTTCGAATTGCTAGGTTGGCAGAAGCTGGGACAAGTAAAGGGAATTTATTCCGTTACACAGTGCTAGGGATTCGAATCGCTGAACTGCTGACTTTTCTGATCGACAAGCTCAGTGTTTTAACCACTGAGCCACCGCGCCCCTTAATATACAGATTAGATCTGTTCATAATTTACTATTAATACACATAGCATCCTGTTTACAAGCCTCAGAAGTCTTACAATCATATAGATGTAGGATTTGGTGTATCTCTCATTCACTGATTTCAACATGTATTTGAAAGTGGACTAGAAGTAAGAAAACGGAAGGGGAGATTCCTTCCTCCATTTATTTTAGTTCGGATAGTAAGTACTCAAGATGATTTAAGAATATCTCAGCTAAAAACGGTTTAGGGCTACTTCGCATCAGTATTCCTGTGTGATCTGAACTCAAACCCTGGTGATTTCACTGGCAACACTAAATCACTGCCTTTTTTTGAATGTTTCTTTGTATTTCTCAGTCTAGTTCTGGACTTTCACAGTAGTCTCTCACTGAAATATTATTCAAATAGAACCCTGATTACATTAGCGAGATTATTCAAGGTCAGCTAGGTGCTACCTTTGTTGGAAAAATTTGTTGGAAAAATAGCATGAACTACATAAGAGGAAATTGTGCAAAGAATAATTTTAGATGGAATTCATCAGAACAAAATGACTTGATGAGGACAAGCTGAACTTCATGAAAATATTTTATTTATATATTTGAAATGAAACTGAAACAAAATATTCTCATGATGACCCCATAAGGTTTATCTTGTCCTATGTGTTATTTACATTGTCCTTTAGGCAACGCAGAAAATAAAAACAGTTTTAAGAATTCATTATGCCAATTAAAAAATCATTAAAGTAGAAAGTAAAACACAAACTATCACAAAGCTTGGCTCGTCCTCCAGATATGTTGGCTAGAAATTCTGGAAGCTGTAGCTCTAATATTATCTGGAGGATCATAAGATGAGGTTAGCTGACCTTAAAGAATGAAATATTTCCTAGAGATGAATTCCAGACAATGAGGAAACTCTGCTAAAATTAAAGTATAAAAAGCTAATCTTTATAATATTGATTAGATCCATAATTTATGTATTTATCTACTTGCTAAATTTATTTGCTGCCCATATCACATCTCACCGTGAGGCTATTCTGGGCAGCTTACAACAATAATACAAGGGAAAAAAAGATAAAACATAAGAAGAGCAAAGGAATGAAACAAAAATAAAACATGGAAATAACAATAGCAAATTGTTATATACCACTTTTCAGTGCTTTTACAGCCCTCTCTAAGAAGTTTACAGAGTCAGCCTATTGCCCCCAACAATTTGGGTCGTCATTTTACCAACCTTGGAAGGAGAGAAGGCTCAGTCAACCTTGAGCTGGTCAGAATCGAACTGGTGGCAGTTGGCAGAATTAGCCTGCAGTACTGCATTCTAACCACCTGCACCATCACAGCTCTTGTACAATAATATGAAATTAAAGAAGATGGATGGAACGAGAGCAGGAAACACAAGTGAGGTCAGCTAATTAGCATAGTCCAATAGCCACCTCTAGTGTGGAACTCCCCCATTTGGTTCCTAGGCCAACTAGGAGAGCCAGGTCTTCAGGCCCTTTGGAAGGATAGGAGGGTAGGGGCAAACCCTACTCGGAGGGGACAGGATGTTCCAATTCAGTTCAAACCTTTATTGTCAGAGTACAACATGTGTACAATGAGATTGGCTGAGCTTCCCTTCATGTACCCGCACCCCCAACACAATACAACTCGTGGTGGAAGACAAATAAAAATCCCTAGCCCAGTGAATCCTGCTAACAAACACCCAGTCCTATTGCACCATGTGAACTTATTGCACGTCGCGCCGGCCTCACAAGCCAATCGTACTATGTTGGTGTAGGGTTATTTTTCATTCAGGAGTCTGACGGATAAAAACTGTTCTTCAGCCTGTTTGTGCGGCTGCCTATGCTTCTATATCTCCTTCCAGATGGTAGGAGAATAAAGAAGGGCTGACCAGGGTATGAGTTGTCCCTGAGGATTTTCCTCACTCTCCTAAGGCAGCGACCCAGTGGTGGATTCCGGATCCCGTTGCAATTCGTACATTGCAACGGGGCCCAGCGTCCATCATGTGGACATGCGCAGCATGCGTGCAGTGTGCACATGCGTAGTTACCGCCTGCAATGTTCCAGCTGCTCAGCGGAGCGTCACACAGGCACCGTACGCTCTGTGTGCATGCGCAAAAGCCCCGATCAGCTCAAATACCAGTAAGGAGTGCGGGCGAGCAGGTGGGCCCTCCGAAGCATCGTACCGGAATGGTACCTGGTGCTCCCAGCAGGCACCGGTACTCCCGTATCGGGGCGTACCAGTCATATCCCACCACTGCAGTGACCCCTAGCAATGTCATCTAGGGATCAAGGGACAGCCCACAATGTTTTGTGCTGTGCTGACCACCCTCTGTAATGCCTTTCTATCCACGGCTGTCAAGGCAGCACACCATACCGTAATGCAATGAGTGAGGACACTTTTTATTGTGGACCAGTAAAAGGAGGTCATCAGTTGTTGTTCCAAGACTCTAAGGAAGTGGAGTCTCTGTTGGCCACCTGGGTCATGTTGATTTTCCAGGTGAGATCTTCGCTGAGATGGACTCCGAGGAATTTAAAGGAGGAAACTCTCTCCACACAGCCCCCCTCGATGTAAAGTGGGGCAGGTTCCTCTGTCTTCTTCCGGAAGTCTAACACCATCTCCTTTGTCTTGCTGATGTTTAGGTGCAGGTTGTTTTCTAAGCACCATGTGGATAGTTTTTGAACCTTCCCCCTGTACGGTGCTACAGCTGATAAAGTTCATCTGAATCCTTCCTTGGTTCATAGACTGATAATAAACTAAGAGTTTCTGAAAATGCTGGGTATTTAAAAGCAACAACGATCTTGCCTCACAGTTAACTAATCTCGCTTAGGAGCTGCCACATGGCTGTTATTAGGTACGCTGAGGAGAAAGATCTCATTTACCATCGACCTATTGAAATCAAATCATAATTAATTTATTTCAATAGATATATTTTAAGCAGGATATAAACACAATGTCTCAAAAGTGCTTCAGTGGTTCAGACCAGAGGTGGGTTCCTACCAGTTCGGCCCGGTTCGGCTTAGTAGGTAGTAACTCGGCCGGACACGTGCTCGAACCAGTTCTATCCTTGGGACCGCCATCTTGATTTTCTGCTCTGCACATGAACAGAAGAATCTTCACTGAAAAAAATGTATTTTTTCTCTTTTTAAATGTTTTGCATATGCGCAGACCCTTTTTAGTAATATTAATAGTGATCACTTTTTTAAAAAGCTACGTTTTGACTCTCTTTTTTTTAATTCCCTAGATCAATTTGTTAAAGCGCTGCAAGATTACCAAGTGGTTGGCCCAGAAAGAGTTGATGGAGATGGACGTTTTCTCTCCTACCATTTACATCTCCATGCTTCAAACGTCAGAGAGAAAAGAGACTCCAGGAGAAGGGAGAGTAAAGCATATTATAAAATTAGGCACAAAAACAAGGATCTCTTCTTCGACTTAACTCTTCACCGAGAGCTACTGTCCAATAATTATGTTCTGGAAAAGCGCTATGGCAACTATCATGGTGCTAAGATCACGCCAAGCGTAGCCACGTCATGTCACCTTCTTGGGACGGTCATGGATTCTGACTCCAGGAGTGGAACAGCAGCGATCAGTACTTGCAATGGGCTCGTAAGTGACTGAGTTATTCGGAAATCTTTATCACCCTTTGTAATTGTAAAAGGAAGATAGTCTGAAACCAGCCCAACTTTAGAAACTATTCATAAAAAAGGAAACTGATTTTAAAATTGACCAAAATAGTGTTACCTGGTACCAGGGGTGAAATGCTACTGCTTCAGACCGGTTCGCCCAAACTGGTAGTAAAAAAAAAAAAAGATACCGGTTCGGGCAAACTGGTATTTCCAACTATTGGCTGTGATGCATGATTTATATTAGCTAGAAAGCAGGATTTCCTGCTTTCTAGATAATCTAAATTGCATGGCACAGCAGATTCCCCTTTTCCCCATTGCTATTCACTTACCTTTGCAGGTACACTCACTAGCAGGCTCCGCCCATACACCCAGATGTCATCACATCCGTTTTTTGATACAAGGTCCTGTGCATGCGTGGACGATCCTGCAGCAAAGTTAAGTTGATTTCACTTCTGCCTGGTACCTACAACTGGATCTTGTAGGAAAATTTTATCTTGAGGCCAGCTTAAATTATCTTAAGCCATAAGAACTGTGTTGGAATCTGAGCAATTGTGTGTACTTGATGGCTGTTGTTGTAGGATTGTTAGACAACAAGGATTGGGGGCTGGTAAGTCATATTTAGAATTCAGAGAATAACACTGCTGTCATAAAAACACTGAGGGAGATGAGTGATTTAGACATAGGAAGTAAAAACAAAATGAAATAATGAAATAAAGAATTGTTGTTATGGAAGGGCTTCGCAGTCACTGTTAGAGGAGCCACGTGGATTAAGATTGTGAATATGTCACATTCAGGGGTGGGATTCAGCCAGTACAGACCGGTTTGTAAACCTGAGGCTAATTTTGCAACTGGTTTGCGGAACCCATTGTTGGAAGGACTGGCTGGCTCCCTCCCCCTTCCCCCCTCCCCCACATTATCCACATTAAGCTTCATGTGAAACATACATACAGGTGTTCCTTGACTTACAAGAGTTCTTTTAGTGACTGTTTGAAGTTATAACCGCAGTGAAAAAGTGACTCATAATAGTTTTTCACGCTTATGACCGTTGCAGCCATTCCCATGGTCACGTGATCAAAAGTCAGATTTATTTTATTTCTTTGTTTTAGAAAATTTATATTGTCGCCTGCTTGCACATGGAGACTCGAGGCAACCTATACAGATATAAACACCATATAATATTTTTATTAAAAATAATAATAAAAAGAAAAATAATGAAATAACAAAAGAAATGAGTAAAGTAATAGCCCCCACCATGGCGACAACACACAATCATATGAAACATTTAATGGGCTCCATCCTGCTCTCGGTTCTTCAGACCCTCTGACAGTACTAGTTCTTCAGCGCAGGGGTGAAATTCAGCAGGTTCTGACAGGTTCTGGAGAACCGGTAGCTGAAATTTTGAGTAGTTTGGACAACCGGCAAATACCACCTCGAGCTGGCCCCAGAGTGGGGTGGGAACTGAGATTTTGCAGTATCCTTCCCCTGCCCCGCCCACCAAGCCATGCCACGCCCATCAAGCCACGCCCATCAAGCCACGCCCACAAAACTGGTAGTAATTTTTTTTTTGAATTTCACCACTGCTTTAGTGCCTTTCAGAAGAGTGTTAGAGTGGGGACCATTCTAATCTCTGGGGGAATGATGTTCCAGAGAAAGGGAGCCACCACAGAGAAGGCCCTTCTTTTGATTCCCGCAGATATATCTCCCTAGGACAGTGTTTCTCAACCTTGGCAACTTGAAGATGTCTGGACTTCAACTCTCAGAATTCCCCAGCCAGC